TTATTAAATATATAAAACTATTGGTTAAACTTTAAACATGAGATTCTCATTTCTACCAGGTGCCTCATAGATGGCGAGATGGTCTGGGCTCAGCCCAACCTTGTGGAGACAGCGTGGAAGATTGGCAGAGCCATCTCCCACACTGGCGTCTTGTGGGTGGCAGGGTCCGTGTTTCTGGCCGCCTGAGCTGGTGGCCTGAGCCAAGCAGCAGTGAGAACACGCTTGTGGTCTCAGGCCTTTCCATAGTCAGGAAGATGGCAGCCCCGTAAAATCAAACAAGATTGAGTGCCGCCGTTTTAAATACTACCTGCAACATATATCTCTAACTTGAGGGACAGAGCCGTGGCAATGATGTTGAAGGACATTTGTCTCCACAAACACTGGGGTGAGGAAGGAACCCCCATGCTTGTCTCAGGCTTCTCTTCAAAATTGCTACACAGGGCTGGGCACGCAAGCAGGAGGGCAGAGTGCTAGAACAGCATACACAGGCCCCTGGGGTCAATCTCAAGCTTTACAGGAACTGAACACAGCAGTTAGGAGGTGGGGGAAAGATCTGAAACTCAAAGTCATCTTCAGCTACATAGTGAGTTTTGGACTAGCCTGGGCTATGTAAGACCTTGTCTCAAACAGTGACAGAAGTATATATTGACCTGCTTACATCTACACACAAGATATGTAAAAGCTCCTCGGAGGAGTGAATGACTCATCCGACGGCCCATGCTGGAAGGTGCCAACACCATCATTGTCAATGTCTGAAAAGCGAGGACTGAACTTAAGGTGTGAAGGGGTGTCCCTCTCCCCTTGCCTTCAGTCCCCTTGTCAGTAGCACTCATGATCTCGGTGGTACCGTACCGTGTTGTGTCACTTCTTGTTCCCTCTGGGCAGGAGCCTGGTCTGGAAACCCTGCTTGGTAGCTGTTCTGTGCCGGTTTCCTCATCTGTGTGAAAAACTGAGAGTACTCCCACCTAGCCAGGCTTGCAAACAAGGTTAGGGGAAGTGTTGATGAGGGGTGGGATTCTACACCTGTCCACACTGTGGCTGTGTCCTGTTAAGCTTTGGCAAATTTCGGAATGCCAGTTCAGATGTTGGGAGATGTAGGGTTACAAGGTGGGGCGCAAGGTTGCCCCCCATCCTCCTCGGCTTGATTTTCTAAAGGAACTGTTGGAAAGGATTGCAAAGAAACATCACCAGGCTCTGCATCTCAGGGATGTGGCTGGCAGCCCATGCTGCAACCAGTGAAGTCTGGTCCCAGTTTTGGGGCCTTGTCAAGATCTTAGGGTTCAGCCTGCAGGTGTCTTGGAAAGAAATGGTGATCCTGATCCCAGAGTGTGGAGCTGAGGACCTTACTTATGTGGGAGAAGTCTCCTGACTCTCCCTGAGGCGGAGTCTGTGAGTCTCAGGGCGCAGCTGGTCTTGACTGTAACCGGTAATCATTTAATCAGTTAACCAACTCAAAGGATGTAAAGGTTTTCCTGTCTCCACGTGGGGAATAAAGACGTAAGTGACCTTAAAGGAATTCTGGGGTGTGCCTGGGGTTCTGAGTGACTCTGTCTTAGCTCCTGTGACAGTGGTAGACAGCTGAGCTGGTGTGCAGACATCCCCCACTGTGCAGATATCGATGGAGCTTTAAAAACTGGCCCGAGTTGTTCGGACAGCCACTGGGGTGCAGCAACTCAGCTGGAGGTCTTAATTACCTGCTCAGAACAAGAGGCAGATCTGAGGTGTGCAGAGTCGCGTGTACAAAGTGTTTTATTTCCCGGAGTGGGTGCGGAGCAACAGAGCCATATGGCCCAGTGGTTGAACAGCTGTCTCTGGAGAAGGAGCAATTGGGAGCTCCCACCATCTGGGCAAATTACAAGACTCTCAATTCTTACCGGTGTGTTGCAGCAGTCAAGTGGGTCTGTGATGGAGAGAGACGGAAGCACCCTGTGTGCACTCACCTGGGCAGCTCCGCCACCGTCCTTCCCTGGATGCCCTGGGCTGCCTCCTGAGCCCCTCAGAGCTTATCTCCGAGGTCAGGTCGCATGCAGCAAATGCCCTTCCACCTTCACCCTGCAGCTTCTGCCCAGTGGGGAAACCTTCTGCTTTCTCTAGAAAACATAAATGTCATTCCTTTAACCCAGCCCCCTCTTGCCTCTTTGGCAGGCTGCAGAGTCTACTTGAAGAGTGCTTAGTGGTTTGAGGCTGTTATATTTTCTCTGCTCTATGATCCGTGTTAGGTTAAAAGGGCCAGGGCGGCTTTTCCTTCCCACGAAAAATAACTCAAGCCAGACAGGCTCCCCGTGGGAGAATTAAAGGTGATGAGGGACTTCTGCTTGGCTGCAACTGTTAATATCCTTCCCCCAAAGTGGCCCTCTTGCCCCCCACCCCCCCGCTCCCAGCTGGCTGTAGTGATGCATTTATTCCCATGTGTTCTTGTTCCAGTTCTAATTCTTTTCCTTTGGCCTTCGGTGGCCTTGTGGAGCAAGGGCTACCCATCCAAGGAGGCAGGTGGAAAGTCACATGGAGGGATGCAGTGTGCTTCCCTGGGTGGCTCTTTTCATTTCTTATAGAAGGGCTTAGGGCTGAGGATGTGACTCAGTTGGGAGAGTGCTTGCCTAACATGCAGAGAGTCTTAGGTTTTGTCTCCAGCAACATATAAATCCAGGCATGGTAGCACACGCCTATAACCTCAGCAATAGAGATGTGGGGGCAGGAGGAGCAGAAGTTCAAGGCCATTTCTGACTGTGTAGCGAGTTCAAAGCCAGCTGGGCTAAAGACTCTTGTTTCAGAAAGAGGAAACAAATCTAGAGTTAGACAGAGTTGCCAATCATTTTAGCATTTGACAGAGAGAGGCTGTAAGGAAGCCACACAGCCCGCCCCTATACAGCTTGTCCCCAAATAGGCGGTGGGCGGATGGGGGCTCATCCATTCAGCCCCAGGAGCAGCGAGACCAATTTTGTCTATAGTGGGCCTGCAGAGTGGTCCAAGATATAAAGCAGCCGCAGTAGCCCCTGACTCTTTTACATCGGTGACAAGGAGATGTGGCCTCTGAGCAGTAAAGCTGAGATGACTTGGCTTCCTTCCCCACAGCTGCCCTCCCTTTCCCCTTCACAGACTTTACTCTTGGTCCCTCACGCCCACCAAAGGGAGGGTGGGAAAGGAAGGCGAATCAGCTGTTGTCATTTAGAAGCTCAGGGGACTTGGTTCTACTTTTCAAGATGGCCACCTCTCTCTTTCCCTGTGTATTTGTAGCTAGATGGGGCCTTCTTCCACACCATCCTGTACCTTCATCCTCTGTGCAAAGGCTCCTGCATTGCCAGGAGAGGACACTTGAGAGACAGTTCTTGGGAGTGTCGTAGCAGTCCAAGTACCCCAGGCTGAATCTGTGGGCTGTGTGAGGCCATGCAAGGCTATGTGTGCGAGGCTGTGTGAGGCCTCAAGAGGCAAGACCAAAGATAAATGGGGTAGCTAAAGTCTCCAGGTCCCACACACACTCAACTGGGCAGCAAATCAGAAGATGTAAGCTGGGTTCTGATTCTTCTCTGCTTCCCACTCAAGGAATCCCATGTTCTCAGAGTGAGGTGGGGCTCTAAACATTTGTCTTTAGATGATGGCTTCTCCTCCAGGCCTCTGGGCCATTATTTACAGTCCTGATAGACAAGCTTGGTCACATGGAGGATTGCAGATCTTATTGACCATGGAGGATTGCAGATCTTATTGGATCCAGGCAGAAAATGGCAGCCCTGCTTTGAATTCCATACTTGTTTGATATCTGAGCAACACCAAGGGAATCATTGCCTCCTTGGAAGTTCACTGGATGGAGGAGGGGCACTCACAAATACAAACTCCAGGCCCAGCTTGGCTCCACTGCTTGACAGGGATCTTGCTGTCTCCTAAACAGGGAGTGCAGGAAGGTCTGGACTCAGGAGAAACATATTTACTTTAGTCTCAGAACAAGTCTCTGTCTTCTATCTAATCTCTCTTCAGGTGTTCTTTTTCTTTGTATATGTGTGCATGTGTGTAAGTGGTATGTCTGTCTGTCTCATGTATGTGTGCATGTGTGCATGTATGTGGTGTGTATGTATGTATGTCTAATGTGCATGTGCATGTGTACATGTGTGTATGTGGTATGAATATATGTCTGGCATGTGCGTGTGTGGATATGTGTAAGTGGTGTGTGTGTATGTCTATCTGTCTCATGTACATGTGCATGTATGCATATATGTGGTATGTATGTATGTCTAATGTGCGTGTGTGTATGTAGTATGAATATATGTCTGTTGTTTATTTCAGGTGTCTTTTTTTTTTTTTAAAGATTTATTTATTTATTATATATGAATACACTGTAGCTGTCTTCAGACACACCAGAAGAGGGCATCAGATCTCATTACAGATGGTTGTGAGCCACCATGTGGTTGCTGGGATTTGAACTCAGGACCTCTGGAAGTGCAGTCAATGCTCTTAACCACTGAGCCATCTCTCCAGCCCTCAGGTGTCTTTCTTAATTACCCTCTACCTTATTACTGAGTCAGGGTCTCTCACTGAACCTGGAGCCTGTTGATCCTTCCAGTCTAGATAACCACCTTGCTCCAGAGATTCCTCTCTCTGCCTCTTACGTGATAGTATCACAGGCAGGCCACCTGTCTACTTATATGTGGGTTCTGGGGATCCGAACATTGGGCTTCAAGCTTGGATGGCAAACATTCCCAAACCCAGCTCTTCAGATATTTAAAGAACCCTTCTCTTTTCCCTGCCAAAACATTTTCTTTTTCCAGGCTAAAATATCATTTATTGACTTAACAATTGATTTTCAAGTACCTCTTATGCACTAGGCTCTGGGCTAAGTGCTAGAGAGACAGAAATTCACAAAGCAGACATGTTCTTTATCCAAGGAGCTCACAATACAGCATGACATTACTCCCAGGCACCCCCTGTCCCTCCCCTTGAATAGAAGAAAGGCTTCAGATCTAGCTTGATCACAGCAGAAAATGGCAGCCCTGCTTTGAATTCCACCCTTCTGCTTATGCCTGTGTGATGCTGGGAAAACCACTGAACCTCCTTGGAGGTCCTCTGTAGGATGATTGTTGCCTAGTTGCCTCTCGGGGATCGTATATGGGGTCCAACAGGACTGGATTTTCCCTTTGCTGCACCACATGTGAGGTATTGCATTTGATTCTGTAGGAATAGAGGGCAGGAAAAGAAAGATGTCTATTGTCTGGTGTCCTGACACTCATTAATATTACACCCGTCATCCATTAAACAAGTATACTTAAGTTATCAGACAACTCTGTCTGTTTGTCTTCCTGTCTGTCTGTCTGTTGAGGTCCAGGAGACTCAAATTCAAAGTCTTGTGTGTACTAGGCAAGCACTCTACCACAAAGTTGCACCTAGCCTACACTCGCTTTTATTCTGACATTACATATTGAGAACTGCAGCGCCTTGGCTCAAGGCTGGGTACAGATCTTAGGAATGGACAAGCAAGATGCACTTTCTATCCCATGGATCTGGCTGCCCATTGAAAGACTTCCAGAAGTTATCTCCAAATAAATCACAAATGAGGATTTTGATCAGTCCCATGCAGGAAAAGAACCTGAGGTTCTGCAAGCCCATCATGGAGTCCCCTTCAGATGGGAACATGAGGGAGTAAGGGAAGGGCTATGAAGCTGGAATCTTAAGAGTTCACCTGGGGAGCAGAACTTGATGAGAGAAGGTTCTGAGGTGGGCAGGGGTTCTGTGTATTAAGAAACTAGAAGATGGGACCTGGGGAGCAGTTGGCAAAGCACTTGACTTGCAAGCGCAAGAACCCAAGTTTGACCCTCAGAACTAGTGGTGATTTGAATAATAATGGCTCCCACAGGCTCCCATAGTTCCACTGTTCAAGAAAGACCCAAGTTTGACCCTCAAAACCTGTGGTGGTTTGAATAATAATGGCTCCCACAGGCTCCCGTAGTTCCACTGTTCAAGATAGATTAGGAGGTGTGACTGTTGGTGGAAGTGTGTCACTGGCCATGGGCTTTGAGGTTTCCAAAGCCCATGCCAGGCCCACTGTCTCTCTCTCTCTGCCTACAGATCAGGATATGACTCTTAGCTACTGTCCCAGAACCATGCATTCCACCATGCTGATAGTGGACTGGCCCTCTGAAGCTGTAAGCACGTCCCCAATTAAATGCTTTGAGTTATCACAGTCATAGCGTTTCTTCACAGAAATAGAATGGTGACTAAGAACTCATGTGTCAAAACAAAACAAAACAACAACAACAAAAACAACCCAGTGTGGTGGTGTGCACTTGTGATTTCAGTGCTGAGGAGAAAGAGAGAAGCAGATCCCTGGGACTCACCTGTGAGCCAACCTAGCGTGGTGAGTTTCAGGCCATAAAACTCTGTGCTCCCTCTAAAGGATGGAATGATATGTAGTGTTGTCATCTGATATTTGAGTGCAAGTGCGTACTCATGCATACGCATGCACACACATGCACATACATACAAAAAACCCCCCTGGGAGATTTTAGGGACCAGTGTAGTTGGGTTGGATGAAGTGAGGCAGGACAGACCCCGTGGAGTTTCCACTACAATAGAACCCATGGTCTTGATCTCAGTAGAATCAATGGAAACTCAGGCAAGGCCTGGGAATAGAGGCTATGAAAGTTTCACTGATCCAGACAGTGACATTAGCTCTGAGACTGCCAGGTTTAGGGAACCACCACGTACCTTGGGGATCACTCCTTCCCTGTGTGGAATAGGATTCGTATGGTAGACAATACTGCTGATGCTGAGCTCCCTCTGTAGATAATGGAACGCTAAGGTAGACTGGCTTCTTCTTCTGAACTGGGATTCCCATCTGACTACTCCTAGAGGATCCTGTGAGCTGCAAGTCAAGAGGGAGCGAAGAAGAGATGGGAAGTCAGGGAAGCTCATGGTTGAGAGGGGCCTTTGCAGACCTTAGTGTTAGGAAGGAGATAGCTGAGTGAGATTCACACTCTGCCCCCTCCTCGCTCTGTGATCCTCTCTCCACCCTCTGAGTTTGGCGTAGCCTTTCCCTGCCAGGCAATGCCAGCTGCTGGTTCTTACACACATGGGGGAAAGCACCCACAGTGAGTGAGTCACTCTAGGAATTAGCTAATTTCCAAATTCCTAAGTGGTGAAAACAAAATTCGAGCACAGCCTCCCAAGTCTCCTACAGTTATTTTAAGACTTACTGTATTTGGCGTGAGTGCCTGGTGTGCGTGCGTATGCCTGTTCACATGGGTTGGGCACACGTGTGTTTACTCTACATGTGTATATGGAGCCCCAAAATTGAAGATTTGAAGTTGTGTGTCTTCCTTGACTGATCTTCACTTTATGCAGGATCTCTCGTTGAACATGGCACTAGACAATTTCAGGTGGTCTAGCTAGGCAGCTTGTTCTAGGAATGCCTTGTCCCTGCCTCCCAAGTGCTGCTGGGATTATAGGCAGGTGCCATGCCCGCCCAGCTTTTACATGGGTCCTGGGAATCCAAATTCCAGCACTTTTACAGCAAGGGACTTATCCACTGAGCCATCTCCCCAGCCCACATGCTTGACAATTTCTGCAAAGATACCCTCGAGTTAGACTGTGTGTCAGTGGCAAGCAATGAGTTACCACTGTCATTTTGGCTTCTGGGAAGCCAAGAGTACCCAAGGCCATCCAGGCCATTCCCTGCTCTGGTCCTGAAGGAATGTAGAGCAGGGCTCTGGGCACTGTGTGTCTCCCAGAGTGAGAAACGATGAAGCTCAGGGATGAGGCCTGACCTCTGGCTTCCAGGATGCTTGGACTCCATGGTGACCCCTGAGATGCTCCCTGGGTAGCATGCTGTTTCTGTTGCTCTGGTGAAATATTCTGTCGAGTGCTTGTATGAGTGCTCATGGGGCACAGGGTGGCAGAGGCAACATTATTTATGTGTTTAAAGGTTTGAATTAGGAGTCACCTTTCCTTTATTGCCCGATCCCCTGGGAGAAAATGAGTCCTGTCTTTTTCAGGCTCTCTGGTTCACGACAGTGGAGTTTCCCATTGCCAGATGCTCTCTGAGTGCACAGCTTGCAAGGTCAGGCTTCAGTCTCCAGCCCATCACAGCTGCCTGCTACGGCTTTGTGTCACCTTCCTCAGCAACTAGCCAGCATCCGACCGGCATCCACTCTGCACAGCCTGTGGGTCAGAAGGATATGAATGTTGTCAATCTTCACTGCTGCCTTACCCTCTCTCAGGCACTGTGGAGCCCCTGAAGAACCTGCTGCTGTCCAGGGGTCCGTGTTACGGAGACCTGGTCCCTGTAGGGAGGTGACTTCTGAGGATCTCCACTCAGCAGCAGGCAGAGGTCACAGTCTAGCCCTGAGACAGAGGTAGATATTTCCCCAAACTTTCCAGTTTGCCATTCCTTAGGGCACTGTGTGGTCACACATTGTCACTGGGACTGGCCAGTGTGTGAATGCTGATAAGGTCCTCCAGCGGAGGCTCCTATGGGTGGCCACAGACTCTTTTTGGAGACTCTTCTGTCTTCCAGTTTCAGTATTCTTTGTTTTCTACACCTGTAACATGTGGCTCAGGATGTATCAGCTGCAGAAGCAGGTGAACACTCACAAGCCACTCCTGGAGGTGTTACTGGCTATGTGATCTTTGAAGAGACATTTGAGGTGTATTTAAGGACATGCACATCCTTGCCTTGTAATTTTTCGCACTGTTCTGATTTTTCTCACTCTGGGCTTTACTGCACAGATGCTCTAGTGTGTGACTATTTTCCTACTGTGGGCTGTGTGCGTGCGTATGTGTGTGTGTATGAGTGTATGTGTGTGTGTGCATGCATGTGTGTGTGTGTGTGTGTGTATGTGTATGTGTGCCGATTTTGTCTTTTTCTTATGGATGGATGGTTAGTTCTGCCCAGACTTCTGCTGCTGTCACCAGTGCTATGACACGTGAATTTGCATCCTGTCATGTGCTCAAGTTCAAGTATATTGAAGCTGAGCTTCTCCCCCAAAAGACACAGGGTAAAATGAGTATGTGGGAGAGGGCCTGACCTTTCACCCCAGTTGTGTCTCTCCCTAGCTTCTACAAACCTACTCTGGTGCTTTAAGCTGACCTATTAGGGCTGCCAACATCTCCCCTTTCCCATTTGTGTTGCAAGCTTAGGTCTGTCAGAGAGACTGTGGTGGGGAGAGTCTCTCCAACTCTAAGCCAACATACAGCCCCCAGTCATATTGTCTTTACTACTTAGAAGTTGGATAACATGTGCTAGTAGACTTTAAGTGCTATTTTAAATAATACTGAAATAATCCATTTGCAGGCAGAGGCCTCTGACTCATAGAAGGCCAGGACAGAGAAGGATCATTTTAGTGACATAGAAGCTCCTGGAAGGTAGACCAACACTCCTGGAAGGTAGAACACTCCTGAAAGGTAGAAATCTCTTGGAAGGTAGAACACTCCTGGAAGTCAATACCATGAGAGGGCTGTAGTTTGATGACAACCCATTCTTGAAATCACTCCTAGAAAGTTCAGGGAACTTAGGGCTCCCATGGTCAAGCAGCCTGATTTAACGTCTCATAGGAATGAGATTTAAAACCAGCAGGACCATGGGCTGCTTCCTGTGGAGGATACAATGGATACTGAACCCTCAGTGGCCTTTGCACGAGTTGGGGTGATGGCTTCAGAGCAGGCCCAGGAAAAAAACTGATACATCAAAGGGAGGATGGTTCTCTAGGGTGGGCACCACAAATCCTAGCCATACCTGCTGGGAGCTGTGCTCCCTACCAGTCTGTCAAGGGCCTCCTTCAGATCCAGACAGAGAGAAGACTCTGGAAAGTTGGTCAGGTGGAGCCAGAAGCAGGGAAGGGCAAGCTTGGCAGCACTGCACACAACCTCTGAGAAGGCAGATTTCAGTGTAGTGAAGCATAGAGCTTTCTAGTAATATGAGCTATCCAGAGTATCAGGGACAACGTGGATTCATTCCATCAAATACCCAACAGCTGTTTACAAAGCTGCTCAGTGCTCAAGATGTGCCAGACCTCAGGATGTGGCAATGAGAGTAAAAGAGTATCATTATTCCAGTCAAGAGCCAAGCAGTGTCATGTGACCAGTGTCATATGATCAGGAGGGGTTGGGAAGGTGCTAGAATGCACCTCAGGATCACCTAACCTACGGAGGCTATCCAGGGACCGCTTCCTGAAGTGAGTGACACTTGAAGTGAGACCTCCGTCAGTCATGTTCAGAAGGGATGCTAGTTGGTGCAACAGCCTGGGAGCTGGAAAGAACCGTTTTCACTTGAGGATATGGTTGCAGCTGTTTGCTGCTGACAGAGCTGGGGATGGGATTTGGCAAGGAGCTACAATGTTAATGTCTAATGAAGTAGAGGTGGGGTCATTACCTGGCCCTCTCTGCGAAGATACTATGCTTCTGAGTATCTTTGGAAGTCTCTGAGCTCAGTGTGTCTGTATTTTTCCTTGAATGTATATATGTTCTTTTGTGTTCATGCACATGTGTAGGGGTGTGTGTGGAGGCCAGGAGGTCAACCTCAGCTGTCTTCCTCAATCTATTTCCACCTTATTTTTTTGAGAGTCTCTCATTGAACTTATGATTCACCTAGGCTGGCTTGGCCAGTGAGCCCCAGGGATTCTCTGCCACCTTTCATAGACCTAGTGTTAAAGACCCATGTCTCTATACCTATCATATATATATATATTTGAGAATCAAACTCAGATCCTCATGCATAGCAAGCACTTTATTGACTGAGGCATCTCCTAGGTATGTCTGAGGGTCAAACTCATGCTGCCTCTTCTAAAACCAGTGGTTGTGTCTTGAGCTAGGATCTCTGAGCCCTTCTGGAGCCTCCTAGGCCACACTGTGTGTGTCTTTATCTTGTTTTGCCCTCCTAACCCTTAGGTTGCTTAATGTTTTACAGATAGGCCCCAGGAACTTTGTAACAGGTCATTTTAATTTCTCAGGGTTATAAGGCCTGTCTGGGAGAGGCATGGGGACTCCCATCCAAGTCTGTCCAACTGGCAGGTGCATGCTGGCCCACTTTCATCTGCTTGGGACCTGTCTGATGGAACAGAGGGAGCACAGGAACTACATACTGGTTCACCTGTCCATCTTCCATCACCACCTCTTTGGGGACCCTGTCATTCAAACCACAAGAAGAGACCAGCTCCTTTGAGAAAGGCTAAGTTTTAAGAGAGAAACAGAACTTTTTTTTTTTAAATCAGTGTTGAAAAAGAAAAGGAAGAAAAAGCCGGGCGGTGGTGGCGCACGCCTTTAATCCCAGCACTTGGGAGGCAGAGGCAGGCGGATTTCTGAGTTCGAGGCCAGCCTGGTCTACAGAGTGAGTTCCAGGACAGCCAGGACTACACAGAGAAACCCTGCCTCGAAAAAACAAAAAAACAAAAAAAAAAAAAAAAAAGAAAAGGAAGAAAAAAAAAAACATACTTGACAAGCCTTCTGCTTTGCTTGCCTCGTAGGTGGCAAGGATCAATTTCCTAAAGAAAAAAAAAATCAATCAGTTGGAATGTGTCTTTCTAGAGAAAGTCTGGCATCTGTCAAATGGGAGAAAAAAGAGCCAGAAAAAAACTCTCCTTGGGTCGTGGGCTGGGGGTTGCTGACTCAGGCCGTATGTTCCAATGCCATTAACAAGTTGAAAGCTGTTGCTCCTTGCAGGGACATGGGGTTGGGGGTAGGAGCAGCTCAACTGTGAAAATTCTCTACAAATCGGGGAAAGCTGTGCTGCCAGGAGCAGAGCCTGGGCCTTCTGCACCCAGGGAGGTTGCTGACTGCCATGCCATGGCTTTTATCAGCCCCTGTGGCTGGCAGGCTTGCTGTATGCAGGAACCAGATAGCAGCGTTCTGACAGGTGGCAATTTTAATTGGTAAACCGTTTCTCTCTGTTAAGCCATGTCTGAAGCAAGTCAGGCTAATATCTTAGGATGGCTGGTAGAGATGTGAGGGAGGTCCCCTGATGCGGGTGGGGGTTTGGGGGTGTTATCATCTGGTGTTTGAGGATAGATGGCTCCCCAGGGCTCTAGAATGGGACAGAGGCTTGTCCTCCCCACTGAGATTGGCTGTGACAAGACAGTCTGTGCTAGCTACAGTCACTGACATTTTTCTAAGAAGCATTTTTCAGGGCTGGGATGTGGCTAGGTTGGTAAAATGCTTGCCTAGCATTCTGGAGGCCCTGGATCTCATCCATCCTCAGTACTTCAAGGACGGGATGGGTGGCACAAGCTGTACACACAGCACCCAGGAGGCATAGGCAGGAGGGTCAGAAGTTCAAAATCATCTTCAGCAATATAGTAAGTGGAGGGCAGCCTGGAGTACTCAAAGACAGACAGACAGACAAGCAAAACAAACAAACCAACAAACCAACAAACAAACACCCTTTGCCATCCCACCATGGACTTAAGGCTTAAGCATAGTCAGGTGTTTTAGCTGAGTTATGCAGTCACCCTCGAGCAGACTGGTATGGCCCACATAGGAGAGAGTAGGTTCCTGGATAGGGAAGGGCAGAGGATCAGTTCGTGTTGACTATGCTTCTCTCGTGTCTGGTTCTATGCTGGCACACTGAGATATTGAACAGAGACTTCTTTCTTGCCTTTGTGGAGATGGTGTGAGCTCAGTAAGTAAGATGGAGAAATGAGTGCTGTCGCCTATGGGACCAGCCACAAGCTAGATAACAGGGAGGGGACCTGGCCCAGCTTGGGGCAGAGTAGGATTATGTAGTCATGAGGAACTTCCTGGAGGAGGTGGTATTAAAGTGAATATGACAGGTAGACACATTTACACACACACTCTCTATTCGTGCAGTTCAACTTTGGGGCCCCCGTGAGAGATAGATTTTGGCAGCTGGGTCATGGCCTTCTTCTATTCTGTTCTCTGAGAGTCAGAAGAGGAAGGGTCTGTACACACTGTTCACACTGTACACACTTGGTGGGTGGTTGTTCAACAGTGAGCTGACTCAGACTGTGGCTTTCACCACCCTCTTGTCCCCGTGAGCCTAGCTCTCTGAGTTAATGCTGTCTCTGCCTCCTTATGTCTACT